TCACTCCCCTTCCCCAACTTTCATCCCCGAACTCCCCCCCTGTACTCGCCGCGCTACCATCATCACCATCCCCCCCCTTCACCCCCCCGGGCCCCCCCCCCCCGGGGAAACACCCAAGCACCTCCCACATCAATCCCGCCCTTTTCACTCTCCGATTGCTACCCAACCCATTCCGACACGTCCCCCTTCCTTGCCACGTAATCAATCCCGAGTAACACTCACCTCCCCTCATCGCTCACCTCTCTCCACTTACCAGCATGATTGGCGAGTCGGACTTCCATCAGTAGACTTCCTGGCACTCAGTAAWTATTATTATTATTCACTTCGGTAAATTCAATTCATCCGACCTCCTACGATATTCATCCTTCCTGCATTGTTCCCGCGATCCCCAAGAGGGGAGGAGAAGCTCTACCTTTTTCCCCGCACTAATCCCACGACCTGAAAGAAAAGCCTTATCCTTTCTGTCATTCATTCCTCTCCCACGATCCCCAAGCGGGGAGGCGAAACTCTTCTTTCCTCACGTTGATCCCACGATCCGAAAGAGAAGCCCGACCTTCCCTTATTCATTTCTCTCCCACGTTCCCCAGGGGGGGAGCCGAAGTCCTGTCCCTTTTACTGCTTCATTCCTCGCACGTTGATCCTAAGATGGTGATCTCTTATTCCATGGCAGCCCAAAAGGCAATGAGCGGGAGGGAGAAGATGGACTTTACCCGAGGACAAGGGGGAATGACAACGTCCCAAACGGGACAGTCGGCATCACAGTCAGGTACAACACCGACAACAGGCGAAGCCAAATCGCGATCTTTGGGACAAAAGGCGATGGACTTCCTTATGGAGAAAACGCAGGTTACGGCGGAGATCAAGATCACGAAAGAAGTAGTCAAGGGAGAGGGTGGGAAGGAAGAGGAAGTGGACGTTTGGGAATATCCTGAAGAGGATATCCAATCTCTGAATGAACTGTACGTGAAGCATGCGGTTTTGTTCAACTTCTCGGGAAGAAGCAGGGRGCTTTCTTTAAATGAGAAGAGAAGATGGGTGAGGGACAGACTGTTAGCTATGGAGGATATACCCGGGAAGGAACCAATGGTGTCATTCCACAAGAGAGGAAGGTTTGTCGTGATGATCGTCTGCGTGGATCCTACCTATGCCCAGTACCTGCTGTCGATCGGCTCTTTAAAATGCAAAGGGGCAATAGTCACAATTCAACCCTGGAAGCCGCCAAGACCACCCCAAGCCGAAGCATCAAGACACAAACAATCAATGCTGAGGAACCATTTCTGGGTTCAGTTTGACAACTTATCGGAAGGGATGCACAGCTTCGTGCAAAGAAGACTGCAGGAGGAATTTCCGAGCAATCCAATCATAGAATGGCTCYCGGCCAACCCCGACTTCCTGGCGCCAAATCACGATGCAAGGGTGGCTTGCTTGGAAGTCAAGTCAGGAGCACCGCCGAAGTTCCCGGATCAATGGATTTTCAAGAAAAGTGGCCAGAGAATCACAGTCTTCATCTCGACCAAGACCAACCCCTTCTGTTTCAAATGCAAGGGTAGAGGTCACCTGGGAACCTCTTGCCCACAAGGCGAAGCAGGAGCAACAGGAGGAAAAAAGGTGGCATTGAGACAATCTATGCTACAGGAGTGTGAAAGCAAGCCAGGAGTCTGGTACATCAATACCTCCTTATACAGGGGTTGGATATTCGATGACAACCAGGAAAATCCAAGGTGGGTTTGGGTGCTGAAGAAGGATCCAACGGTCAAGCCGGACATCTATCCACCATACGACAGCAGGTGGAGACACACAGGAGCTAAGAGAATGGAAGACAAGGAAACCGGTTTCATCGTCAAACCAATGTTGGATGATGYGRTCATACAGGACDATGAGCAGAGAYTGAAGCTCATGGAGGAACTACATGAGGTCGGTAAAAACKCGGAATTGGCTTTCTTGGAAAATGCACAAGTCAGAGCACARCAGCAGGAGCAGACAAGAGGCAAGGAGGRCAGGTCAAAAGACATGGAGGAGGGCGAGGGAGACARMATGGACTGYGAAGAARGAAGGAAGGGGGGAACARAGGGAGGAAGTTTCTCCACAAAGAGGAAGGGAGAGTCAAGAGGAGAAGAGGGATCTAATGCTCAAGAAGGAGAGTCGCAACAGGGAAAAAGGAGACAAAAGACCCAATCAGGGGAAGGGGCCACCACAGGAGAGGAAGAGGAAGAGGGCAGAACAAGCATGGATTCATCAGAGACTTCGGGCAAAGATAGTGAGGCAGAGTCAACCTCACATGACTTGACCTCAAAGGGCACCAGGGCAGGAGAGGAAGGGACAGGCATTGCAGATAAGAGAGAGGACTTGACACACAAGGATCATCTAGGGGGATCATCACAACAGGAAGAGGACAGAGGCAGATCTCAGGGGGCCCAGGGACATATAACAGCGGAGGAAGAACAAAGGGTAAGAGAAAGAGCAGGAAGGAGAGGCATGCAAAACACTGAGAACATGTCAGTGGAACAGATACTTCAGGCAGAAGAGGACCAAAGAGAGGGTTCACCAGACACAAAAGGCGAAGCTTCATCAGAAGAGGATGAGGAAGAGGAGGAGGATGAACAGGAAGACGCTGATGTGGAGGATTGCACAACAGAACGGTGGGTAAAAGAGGTGGAGCAACTGGAATGGGGGAGGACGATTGAGTGTGAAATCAGGCTGGACCACTACAAACACCTAAGGAACCTACAACAAGCCACTCAAGCAATGGAAGACATTACGTCAGAGAACAGGTTTGAACTGCTAAGGAGGGAGGGAGAAGTCAATGAGTTCTACGCATCTCAGTATGCAAGACAGTCTTGTACAGTAAGGAACGATATACACTTACAGCAGGAGGAATATGAGAGGATATTTCAATGGCCAAAGTCCTATCATAACAAGGAAAGGAAGAGGGACAGCAAGAAACGAAAGGCTCAAGCGGTAGAGGACCAAAGCATTACAGTGGAGGGAAGAAATGACCCAATGGAGGGACCTGCAATGGAAGAAGAACAAGGGAAGGGAGAGAGTGAAGAGGAAGAGATCCAAGATTTGAGAAGGCAAGCCGCGATTTTGGTTGTGCAGGTGAACCTGCTCAAGGACGAGAACAGGGAATTGGAGGACGACACAGTGAATGTACAAAAAATAGCGACAGGACAGTGGAAAGAGATTGAAGCCGCGGCCAGACTGAAATCCAAAAACGGGAGGAGGAGAAGAGTAGTCCTTCCATGTCGATGGAATGCAAGTCACTCGGACTGGGAAGTGGCAATCTACCAATCCTTACAGATGATAACAACCCCGACTGAGGAGTGCTCTGGCTCGGAGCTTCAGAAACTAATAGGGGGAGAGGTGCCTGCTCGTGCATTCATACTGAGGGAGGGAGGAGTGGAGCCGATGGCACTAGGAGAGGAAGGAGAGGAGGGGATAATGACAGATTTCGGTCCACTGCTGCTCCAAATGGGGACCGATGCTGAGCTAAGAGAGGGCTTGATGTGGATGCCTTGGCAAGTGGTGGAAACCATTCCCTATGGGTTGATTGGGGGGGAACTAGGAGCGGAATGGGTTGCAAGGTGCACAGCGGTAGCGACAAAAGTGGAGGCGTTTGCTTGGAAGCCAGACTTCTTCGAGAAGAGGGTAAGTAGGGTGGC